TTTGTAGCCTCTCTGATAATATTCCACGTTTTCCTAATGTCTTTATTAACTAGCCCTATCTTTTTGGTATAGTATGAGTTTTTTGCATTTCTAATTAAATTGTTCAACATATTTCTATACTCCTTAAATCTTTTCCGGGAGTCATCAGTTTTGTGAATGACACTTAGCTTTTTGAGTTTGTCCCTATGCCAAATTGACCTTATCAAGCCCAGAGAAATCCAGGGTTTTAGCTTCCTATTTTTACACTTTATATGCATTTTTTCTGTAGCTGAGGCTACATGTGATTTAAGTATATTTATAAACAAGTCTGCACAGACATCAGCATCCCTAGAAGCCAACACACTCTCCCAGTTTTCATTTTTTAGGGTATTGTTTAGTTTTTCAAGATTTGTTTTGAGAATTTGTTTATCATTTTCAGATTTTACTTCATTTTTAATATTTAAATTTAAGAGAATTGGGTAGTGATCTGATATGCCACTGTACATTATTTTAGAGCTAGGTTTAAATTTATTGTGAGTGTCCTTTATAAAAAAGTGGTCTATAATTGATGGAAGCTGACCATGTCTTTCTCTGGTAGGCTTGTCTACTGCGCTATAAAAACCAAAAGAATGAAGGCAATTCAAATACTCAACAACCACAGGGCTTCCAGTCTCACTTATATTTATATTGATGTCACCCAGGAAGACTTCCACGGCATATTTTTTTGTAATTTTTTCAGAAAAAAGACTGTTGAGATCCATTACAAAGTCCCTTTTATTTGTAGATGGTAGCCTATAAGTTCCTGTTAACCCTATTTCTAAGTTATTTTTATTTAAGATTACTCTTTGAAATTTAAAGTTACCAACAATATGAATTGTGGAGTCCCTAACATATTCAGACTTAACGTATATCACAAACCCATCACATTTATTTATTTGGCTCGCATTATAAAAGGCATCATAACCAGGTATTTGCACATTTTGCAAACTATTTATTGAGTTTGTTTCTGAGATTCCTATCGCATCAAAATCACCTTCGAATGAGCCTAGGTACGCTATTAGATTATTAAAATTTTTATATAGACTACAGATATTTATATGAATTATATTTAGGTCACTTACGGAAAACTTTATGTTAGATATATCATCACAGTAATTACAATCACAAATTAAAAAATTGTCCAGGATCCCACCTGGCTCCATTTATGCAATGTAAACCCACATTCATTTGTCTACCCTGTCCTCCTACATTGTTGCATTGCTGATCATTTCAGTCACCTGCTCCTCCGACTTGATTCGGATAGCATTTGTCCCTTCATTGATCTTTGCTAATACTGTTCCTCCTCTCTGCCATACAAATTGGTATCCATAGTTTTTCAACTGATAGGCATTTCTTAAGAGCTTATACGTTGACACAGTCAATTCTTCGTTTACATATATAAATTTGGTATTTGGAATATTACAGATGTCGCCAGACAATTTACCCTTTTGGTAGCGCTTTTTCAAGAGTTGGATCTTTTTTCTACGCTGCACAGTTTCACCTGTACCACTGCACCATTCTCTCTTGGATTAATTAGTTTTACATCAACAATGTCCTGATTAGTAACCGAATCATCTAGAAATTTGAGCACTCTCATGGTCTTGTTCTTCACATGGTCGATTTCCTCTCTGGGATCATTGCAGATTCCAGTTATTACAATATTGTCTCGTATTTTGAGACTTTCCGTACGCCGAACAAAGCCCTTGACATACTCCAGTTCAGTTTTTAAGTATTGATTTTCGGCCCTAATCTCCCCCGCTTTGCGCGTTTTGGGCTTTCAAATACTCTGGTTTCAGATAATGGGCCTCAGCTTGTGAGTGCTGAATTTGAAGAGTTTTGTATAAAAAACGACATTAAACATGTCAAATCTCCTCGTTACCATCCGGCAACAAATGGTGCCGCCGAAAATGGAGTAAAGTCTTTTAAGAGTGCGTTAAGTAAACTTCTTATGGATAATAAAAATAAGGGCCAAACTCTGGAGACTCTGGTGAGTAAATACTTGTTTTCATATAGAAATACTCCTCATTGTGTAACAGGAGAAACCCCTTCCAAGTTGATGTTTTTGCGGAAAATTAGGACAAGACTTGATTTTTTGACTAGACCAGTTTCAGAAAAAAATATGCAGAAACAAATTGAGTTTCATAATGGTAACAGGAATGTGATTTTTTTAACGGGGGAATTGGTTTATGTTAAAGATTATCGTATTACAAATAAACCTGGATGGGCGAAGGCAATTGTAAAGGAAGTATTGGGCCGTGAAAGCTATGTTTGTAGTCCTTTAGAGGATAGTAGATTAAGGTGGTTTAGGCATTCGAATCAGATGATCAAATTGGGTTTTATGAGGGGTTAGATATTCCAGAGAGAAAACAGATATAGCTTGCAACATTGAAACACATTGCACTTCGGAGATATCCAATCCTGAAATTAGACAAACCCTTAGCGATTTTGAGCAGAATGTCACGTCCTCTGAGAACACAGTTGTTAATAGTGAAAATGCACCCCATCCCTCTCTTGTGAATTTAGAAAATAAGTCTAGTGCGGTTTCTCAAGATGTAAGTGCAGGTCCGTTGGCGAATCAAAATGCAGAGAACAGTTCAGTAGAACCTAACAAAAATAAAAGTATGCTTTCAGGATCACCTAGAGATATAGGTAGTTCCAATGTGAGGAGCAGACCTCGCAGAAATATTAAACCTCCAAACCGATTAAATTTGTAGAGAGAATTTCATACATCTGTCAAAACTGGTATTCCAACAATAAATTGACATTTGCACTCATGAGTTTTTAACTGAAAAAGGCACTCGTGCACTACGTGCACTCGTGCTCTTTTTCAACTAAAAATGCGTTCAGGCAAATTTCCCAAAAAATATCAATAATTTCCATTGCACTAGTTATATTACTATTGATAATTTTTGAGCTTGGGGGTGAGAGGTGTGATGTCTGCTACTCACCTGGTACATACATACCTATATTAAGGCCACCAGGCACTTTAGTTTTGTCATGATAATTGTCAGTTAGTTTAATCATAGTCATGTCATAGTTATAGTTATTGGAAGTTAGTTAATAAAGTAATTCAACGCTTCTTCATGATTACAATACATTACAGAAATAGGTTCGTATCAACAGATCTACCGGCTGTAAACTGATGCTGTTGACTGATCACAATTCAATGAAATATTTTTGAAAGAATATTTTCAACACACTGCTTAAATTATTTAGGAATTGCAGACAAGATGCTGATAGGTCTGTAGTTTGTTACATCATTCTTGCTGCCTGACTTGTGAATAGGACAAACATAAGAGAGCTTCCACATTTCTCGAAAAACTCCAGAGTTTGAGGATTTGTTAAAAATAATAAATAGAGGGAGATACAATGTGTTAGAACAAGATTTTAGTACTTTGTTAGGCATACCATCAGGTCCTGCAGACTTGTTGATGTCCACTTGCTTTAAAGCCCTCTCAATATCGGTTAGGTCTATGACAATGCTTGAAACATTCTCAAATCGATCAGGAAAAGTTCTGGCGTTGGAATTTCTCTGGGGGTTATAAACAAAGGAAAAATACACACTAAAAAGATTAGCTATGACAACACCGTTAGACGCTATTACTGTCGCCAGAAACATTCCTTTGGGAATAGTACCCTGGTTGGATTGGGAATGAATAAAGTTCCAGAAAATTTTCACATTAGTGCCTATGGCCTTTTCAGCATTACTTATGTATAATTTGTAGCACACCTTGGTGAGATTTTTAGAATCCCTCCGAAGTGTGTTAAATGCAAAATAATCCCCTTTACGCTTGAATACAAGCGTAGTTTGTGAGCAATTTTCTATTCACAAATCAGGTTTTTAGTTCGTGAGAAAACCAGATAAGAAATTTATCGCTGTAACAATGTCTATTTGTGAGAACAAACATATTAAAGTAGTCGAACAGTACCGAGTAAAAGTTTTTTAACAGTTGCGTTTAGATCCTCAGTCATAATAAATCGCCAATCAAAGGAAAGAAAATATTCATTAATTTTATCGTAATTGGCATTTTTAAAGTCATAGGAAAAACAATTAGGAGGCTTCAGAAATTTAGCCTCATCAACAGTTATGGAAAACTCCAGAGCTGGATGATAGTGATCACAGCCGACCAGAGCGTCAGATATTGCAATTGAAACAAGCATAAATCCAGGATTGAACCATGATCGTTAGTCACCCCATTGTATTGAGACAGATTAAGAGAGGCAGTACCATCACATAACAAGGTTAAGAATATCTGCAACACATACATTTGCAGTTAACATCCCACACATTAAAAAAACTATAGAACTAATGGGCCCATACTTTTTTTCCGAAAAAAACGCCTATTTTTGAAAAAAAAAAATCGAATTTTTAAACTGGCGCGAAAACGCGAACTTGGTTCATGACGTCACAAACCAGAAAATCAACAAATAGGCGAGGTGCCAAATTTCTCATTAGTGAAAAATTACACATTTCACTAGCTAGAAACTATTTTCGTCCTTTACTACATTACAAAAAAATAAAGGATAGGTATAATCCTTATTAACTCATTTAAATTTCGCATTTCTACATGTGGCAATAAAAACGTCAAAATCGGCTTTAGCCAATTAGAGAGCGTTTTCAATCACGTGATTTTTCGTTTAAATTTTTAGTTTTTATTTATTAATTTATTCAATAGTCTGACTAAAATCTTGCAAAATATTGTTCATTCTCGGTTGCATTGATGTATCTGCGTCAAAAAATATCATAATTTGCCATATTCACGGCACGTGAAAGTGGCCCATTCTGACTAGATTATAACTGGTTTCCCCTAGTTTGAATTTACAAAGGTTTTCATTTTTCACCCCTAATCCGGAAAGAAATACATCACTAAACTCGGAACTCATTACAGCCTCAAAAATGTTGAAAAGTCAACACAGCAATTTTTATCTATAGTAGAAAAACGAAAGAAGATCCTTATTTTATTTAAATTCAAGATACTCACTACTTTATCCGGAATGGGTTCCAAATCCTCTGGAGGTAATGGTGGCGGGTCCAAATAATAGCTAGCCGGTTTTTGCAGATTGTGAGTGTGAAACTTCAATAATCTGTGTGTATCTTCGGTCATTAATGGTTTTCTTTCTATACGGACTGCTCCAAACCATGACCAAGACAACGGTGGAGGATTTTTCATGCCTTCTAATATGTCCCAACTGCTGACACGCTGTTTATCAGAGATCTAAATGTTTTTTTGTAACAAAATTTTTCAAAAGAAACATTATTTTGACTTACCAGCAAATCATGTTTCTTATCCACGCTATCAAAGCTAATTTTGTAGCCTTTACTATCAGTCAAGCAACCAGCTGGTTCGACAGCAATAATCTCTGTGGTTAGCCTCGGAAGTGGCAGTAACTGTTTAATGTGCATCAAAGATACGTTTTGCCTTTCTCCAATTTCTTTTTTAATTTTTTTCATTAGGTTCTGGTGCATTTTTTTACCTTCGTCCTATTTAATTTCGAAAAATAGTGAAAAACATTCAAATTTGGTAGCAAAAAATCTCACCTGTGTATCTGTGGCTAAAGCTGAATGTATCAAAGTTGCCAGCATATCAATAATTGTAGTAAATAGTTCACTATTAGTGTGCAGATCGATAATTCCATGGGTGACAAGCTGTACTAGCAATAGAGCCCAATCCGTAGTAGCAGAACTATTTCTTTGAAAAGCCTGTAATAGAAAACAAATATGAAAGTCAATAATTTCACTTATGGATACGATTTACCTCAAAAACACCACCTACTAAGGCAAATCTCAGTTGAAGGCCGTCCAAAGTCCTTTCGCTGTGACATGTGTCTTGGAGATTGCCTTCTTTAGCTTGCTGCACCAACTAAAATAGTAATTGCCATATTACATTTAGCTTTGAAATTTTCTCGTGGGTCAAGTTTTAAACAGTGAGAAAGATTTAAGTCCTTACCTGTGTTAGCTGTTGATGTAAAGATGACAACAAACCTTCCTTCTGACCTTCTTCCTGCCCTTTGAGACATGTCAGCACCAAACTCAAAAAAGGCTGATGAGTCAGCATGCTTTGACTCTCACTAGTAGTTCTTTTTGCCATTGGTTTTTGGTCCTTGCAATGCCAGCCGCCATTTTCTAGCACTTGTCCTGCAATTTTGAGCACCCGCCCTTGCACTGCGCCAGATAGTTTGGCTATCAACGGAGCCACTAACCATATAGAGCTAGTCTTATTTCTAGCTTCAGATTTTTTTGTTTCGTCTGATTTTGGACTCGTAGCTGTAGAGTTTAATTGAAAAACGTCAATGGCGGCCTTGGCAACCGTGTCCAACCATTGAGATAGTTCTGGTGTGTTTACACTGTATTGTTTGAACATCAGTTGGAGATCCAGCCAGGACATGCGAAGCGTCCATAATTCGAGACTCTTTTTGTAGAAATAATAAATTATCCCATAATTTATGTTATTAATTATGCACTTACCTCAAGTATACGACTAATCATACTTTTCTGATCTAGTTCATCAATACTGGAAGCTATTTCTGGATAACATATCATGTGAAGTAGTCTTTGAGCCTGAGAGTGAGTTAATAAATCATCTAATAAATTATCGATATCACAAAGCTTCTCAGGATGGCATAAACATCTAAAAAAAAAAAAACAAATCTATACGCTGATGAATAGAATACAGAATTTCATCTTACCTATCCAATACCCATTGTTGGGAGCATATTTCCCTTAAAACGTGATTGGCAAAGGCTGATAATGAAGCAGTTCCTTCTGGATTTCCGCTGGTGATTTGCCTAGAAAAACGGTTATTCGTTGAGAAGCACTTTTTCAAGCTAAAAAATTACACATATAACCCCAGGGTGAAGGCAATGCATTCCATATGTATAAATAATATGAGAACCAAGACACCTTTTCTTATTAGCATAAAATATATACACTGAACCCATTAATATCCTATATACAAAAAGAATATAAAAAATCTCGTTCACAAGGAGATGTTAGAACACAGGGAACACTTTTTGCTTATTTTAAGTGAAATAAAGCAAATGTTTTCAAGATGCAAGCCACAAATAAATGAGACACCTTTTCACAGAAGAGGACACATTTAAAGCAACAAACAATGTCGGTTTTTATTAGATGAAAAGAAATAAGACCGATTGACAAACCTATGCGCAGTCCGTGTACCGCATACGTCCATTTGTACCAACCTGAAGATATGAAGGTTAATTGTTATAAAGGAAATAAAAACCTGAATAAAATCACGACAAGTTACTTACGGTAAATCTAAATTTGGTCCATCTACTCCACTATGCAAGTCGCTAGTACCTAGAATATTTGACAGACTAGGTTCAGTGCCTTGTTTAGCTGTAGCATCGCCCACTATTAAAACAGCCTTTAAAACTGCCAAAACTGGACCAACATCGATATTCCTATGGGCGGCAGCCAACAAATGCCGATCGCAGCTAAGTCTTACTCCTAAAGGCAACCTTGGAGAGGTAAGGGGCGGTGATCCCACTGAATAAAGACCTGGTTGGGGACCTTCAGCTGTTCTAAATAGACGAAGCAATAAATGACAAGTGAGGCGCATGCCAGCTTCTGCTAGTCCAGATGACGAGTCAAGAGACTTAACCTATAAGTATAAAAAGTTTTAACATGATGAATGGCTTCTTTTTGGGTAGGTTAAATGTTTCTTACCTTTAATAAACTAGGCAAGGCAACAGTCCTCACAAAATCCTCAAGAGAAAAACAATGTCTTGCTATTAAAATACAAGTAAACACTGCTAAGGAATTATGGATGCTAACATCTTCAATTTTCACCTCATTTAACACATCTTTGTAATACTCTGGAGGTGAAGTGGGACTGCACAGTCCCAACAAGACACCCAACCACTCAGAAGCGAGTAAATTGCAACAGGCAGTCATTTCAGCGCAAAGTATTGCCATGTCGTTTAAGCGTTCGTTGTCGTTTATTCTATCCGAGTCTGGATCTTTGCAACAGACCCGAATTACGGCATTGCAGACAAATGAATACCTAAAGATCAGAAATGATCGGTAAATGTCCTTGACTATCAATATCATATTATTCAAGACATGCTTACCTGTTGCTGGCATTCTCATTCAACTGCTTAGCCCAACTACTCTCAATTCTCCCAATCCTCCTTGGGTTCTTAAAAATGTCCTGCATGAATTGAGGATTGAAAATATATGTGCTGCTGGTGGGCTGCAACACTAAAATGCTATACAAAGCTTGTTTGATTTTTGGATAAGCATTTCCAAACGGTTCCACGGCGTGGGGTTTGGATTTGAGGAGACTACAAGAGGAGTAAAGGTCATAGAGATGCGCCAGTATGCAACGTTCTGCCGAGCTGCAATCGCCAGGGTTAGTGACGTGTTTTACTACTTTGCACAAGCCTTCAAAGACGGCTGAAGTTTGTTCAGGAGACACTAAAATAAGTGTATTACTAACTGATTACATAATTAAGTATCAAATGATATCACTTACATAATAAACAACAATGATATCGTCGTAAAACACCAACAATATAAAGGCTCAAACCTGTAGTGTAATTTCTACTCAAAACCGAGTTTTTATTGTAAAGCTGATTTTCAACTTCAGGCAGTTCCTTTAGAATTTGAATACAAACATCTATCAGCCCGTAAATATTCAATGCTAGCTCCATTAAATCGAACAGGAAAGCTACATGTTCTTGTACAGGTAAATAATTAGAGTTTCCTGTGGCAAAAGAATTGAGCATTTCTATTACAGTGACGCTACATTGCCATGTCACCAAGTGTTGGTCAAAATAGCTCAAACTTTGGCACTTTTGAGTTGTTGCTTCAAAGTTGAATTCATTTCTGGAGTGTTTTTTTACCTTTCCTCCTTCAGCAACGTCAACGCTAAATTTTTTTGAGAACAATTTGCAAATTTCTTTCGACATTTTCTTAACCGTGTGTCGAGCTTCGTCTCTTACTTTGCCCACCCCATACAACAAAATGTGACGTTGATTACAATCGTGCTGGCTAAATGGGTCATCTTGGCTTAGCGGAAAGTGCGTTGTGTACAAAAAATGTCGCGAAACCTTAATCTGGAAGAAGTTTCAGAGTTTGTTTATTTGATAAATAATTTCCAGAATTTTTTCAAGTTGACATGTCTGCCCAGCGAATCTGTGTCTACGGGGCAACGGTAAGGGGAATGCAGTTGTCAAAAAAAATGGCTGATTTCATTCATAAAATACCCAGCTGCGTGCGGAACTTTTTGGAAGTGTTATCGTATTGCAACTCGTACACGAAAATCAGCAATTACCAAATCTCCGCTACTGGATATTTCAATATAAATCGATATTCCAAGATGGGAGGATAAAATGACGTGAGCCCTGGCCAATAGCGAGACGTAAGGTGACGTTAGCTCATTGACAACCGTATGGTTCCCCATGACAACGGCGATCCTGTCAAAAACTCCACCAATCAGGTTCATCCAGGACGGATGCTTGCCAAATTGTCAAAAGCTGATGGTATTTCTAGAAATTTTTTATTTTTTACAATAGACCAAATTGAAGAAATCAGGATTAAAATAAGGATAGATCTAACAACCACGTTAAAATATTTAGCGTTTTATTAGGCAATTCAAACCACGTGACATTCAAGATGGCGTGGCGGCCACACATGGGCCAAAAAATACAAAAAAATATCTAGTTTCTGCCCAAACTAATAGTTTACGTACCTGGTCAACAAATATTTTATTAAATAATGAAAATCAAAGTTGTAAGCAAAACTCTATGTAAAATAATTTAAAATACGCATAAAAACATATCCAAAACAAACTTGCTTGGCCGCCACGCCGCATTGAATTTTCCTGTTTGACAGATGGATTGAATTGCCTAATTATTGTATCAATATTTAGTTATTAAAAAATGGATTTTCAAATTAACTATACTTCATCCCTAGTATTTTCGCTTTTTTATAAATAAACGTGGCAACATGGCACATTTACTTCCGAATTCCTTCCGTAGACTCAGATCCGCTGGGCAAACAATACATATTTTGAAAAATATAAATAAATAGAAACTTACCCTGTGATCTCCATGCCCGCTTTCCATAGGAACATGTCCCATGTTGGGTACATGAGGATGATGCCCATGATCATGTTCCTTTGGACTATCCGGTATGTCCATAGAATTTTGCTGGTCCTCCTTTATATTTTGCAGAATTTTATCCAAATCATTGTCAACATCAGCATCATCATAGTCCATCGGTTCAATTTTGCTATGATGATTATTGCCCATACTATCGGAATTGTCTTCATGACCAATCAAATCGCCTCTAGCAATCAAAGTGCACATATAGGCATCATGGGAGAATACATCTCTGCGTATTAGTTCCGCAAATAAATGTACCAAATTGGAAAATGCTGTCTTTTTTTGTTGAGAGTCGTCATGGCCAGGTATGGGGGCGTCCACATCCAAAAACTTCATTAATAAGGACTGGAACATTGGAGGTCCTCCAGGCAGAGAGCTGCTACTATCTTTATCATCTCCTGGGGTTGCTTCTTGACTTTCTGTTGGGTTCGTATCTGATTGTCTCCTATCTAATAAAGCAGCAACTGCTAAAGCTCTATGTTCCCCAGTTCTTTCTGGTGATACAGCCCATTCACAAAGTAGCTTCACTATGGCATTTTCCTGATCACCAGAACCGCTAAAAACTTTAGCATAAAGCGTATCCAACGAGTTTGTAGCATCCATTTTATCAAAACGATGCCTATCCAAGGCATCCAAAGCTGCTAAAACTCTTGTAGTAACAGTCCCAGCTGAGGTTTGAAATTTGTCCATGCACCATTTGCCTTCTGCTTTTCTACTTCTTTCTCCAACCAACATTTCTGCATGACGTATTTGTTTTATGTAAGAGTTCATGTCGCATCTTGCGGGAGTTGGTAATATGGTGGGAGCTACTGGTAAATTATCTAAAGGTGATCCATGCCATTGAGTTCCGATTCCTGTGGAACACCATACTAAAGCAGTAGGACATTCTAATAGGATTGTATGAATTATTGTGCTTAATTCAAGTACGATGTCCTTATGGTGTTGGCAATTTTGATATTCATTTAGATTATTTTGTATGGGGTTGCTTGGAGGAACATTTTCTTTTTTTATTTCTTTCTCTGCTTCTTTTGGTTCTGTTTTGCTCTCACTGGGAGGAGAAGTCATCAAATTGGCTTCTGGTACACTATTCATCATAAAATTCAATTTTTTAGTGCAAAAGTGACACAGGCGTCTTGATAGCAGTTCAGATTGTACAAACTCATCCAAATACTGTAAAGTCAAAGGTAACAGCAACCTTAATAAACCATCATCCTGAGGCTGGCTTTTAGGTTTATCATGTTTTTCCAAAACATCAATAATCCATATCATTACGTCTTGCCTGTCAATTAAAGCCTCTTCATACATGTACTTTAACAATCTACAACAATACATCCAGTGCCTTATGGCTTGTTTTGAATCATTTTCATTGGTGGCAAGGGTGGTAAGAGGTACATTTGGTGGCGGCGGTTTTTCAGTTTGAGAATAGTATTCTTGTAGTTTTGGAGTTTGATCCTTTAGGAATTTTAGGAGGGTACTTGTCCATTCTAGAAAAATTGACAAGGGAAATTTCAAATAAGAATACAATATTCTAGCTCTGTGGTAAAAAAAATATATTTGCTTTTGTAGTCGGGAGTTTCTTCTCCTTGCTATTTCTAGTTTAAGCAATACTAAAATCAGCTAAAGACGATACAATAAGAAAAGTTCCTTTCTAAGAGATTCTGATGATAAAATGGGTTTATGATAAACATATTTTAACATGTCTACTAGGAGTTCTATACCTAATTATTCTTACCTGTTGTTGGATCTGACATTTGCCTCTTCTTGATTTTAGCCTCTGACACAGCCACAGTATAAGCCGAACTCAACTTTATGAACCAAGCGGCTCTCACCATTGGCACTTGGTACTCAGTCAGCATCATAAAAATCTCTTCTTTCTTATTAAAATTTGGTGCTTTTTTGGATAAATGCATCAAAGGTTTGCTGCCGGCTAAATCTTTGAACCAAGCCTCGATATGATTTTTTGTTCTGATTGTTGCAGGCCAAAAATTGTCTTTTGGATTGATTTGCTGACGCTTACGACCGGTTTCTGGCATAGCGCTGAGTTCCTCCTTCCGAGTGATGATTGCATTGAAATAGGCTCCAACCTGTTTGATTTGAAAATAATATATTATTAATTTATTTATAACTAAGTGAACATTTGAAATTCAAGACAAAACTTTCTTGCTTGAGCAAAAGAAATACCTACATACACATTTTTGTAAATAATTTCTCAAAAGTAACATAGAATTTGAAAACCACGTTTTTAGAAATTGTCTATCGTTTAATCTGTTACATAACATAAACCCTAGTATAAACCTCAATATAAACAGAAAAAAAAATCGAAATATAGTTCGTTTCTCGAGGGTTCATACTTTTGTTATCGAACACGTCATAACTTGAAAAAAAAAGGTTGTCGTAGATTAATTCATATGACACATTCAATTTTTTTGACAAATTAGAATGACTGACTTCTGGCTTAAGAACCAACGAACGTTTTTGACGTCATTGATTTGTTTCAGTCAATTTCTATTTGTTAAAAAAGGAAGGCAAATTTTGTCAAACGTATGAACCCTTATGAAACAAAGTTTACCTACAAGAGCTGCGTCAAGTTAGCCCCCCCCACATTCGAATTTTCTAAAAAAATTGCAACCACTTACTGTGCTCGAAGTGTGCTTTACTGTGCCGATGATATTTTGAACTGTGCCGTTTCGATAACAAAGTTATAGGAAAAAATAGATGAGGGGCTAACTTGACGCTCAGCCCCCCCAAAATTTTGGAAATCAGATGAAACCAAAAAGGATTCTTATCCAATCTGAAGTGTGCTGAACTGTGCCGTATCAGGTTTTTCTCAAATTTTCCATATTCGGTCATTTTCCGACAAAATCCTACTGGGGGGCTAGCTTGACGCTCAGCCCCCCCAAAATTTTGGAAATCAGATTAAACAGAATTGAATTTTTATCCAATCTACAGTGTGCTGAACTGTGCTGTATCAGATTTTTCTCAAAATTTCCATAGTCGGTCATTTTCCGACAAAATCCTACTGGGGGACTAACTTGACGCTCAGCCCCCCCAAAATTTTGGAAATCAGATTAAACAGATTTGAATTCTTATCCAATCTACAGTGTGCTGAACTGTGCTGTATCAGGTTTTTCTCAAAATTTCCATATTCGGTCATTTTCCGACAAAATCCTACTGGGGGGCTAACTTGACGCTCAGCCCCCCCCCCCTTCATAGCAAATTAAAGAGGACTAAATTCTCTAAAATTTATCCAGCGACAGCATATGTCTATCACCTACCCTTTAGTCGGGGTGGCGCTCTAAAGTTGAATGACCTTGAAAAAATATGTTTCGGAAATAAATTTTTTTTTACTGAACAGTAAAGCGAATCCACCACAAACCATACAGCAAATACTCATAAATAATTGGCCGATTTTTTGGTATATGTTTTATTAAAAAACAGTAACCCGTTTAAGATATACAAGGTGTTGAAATTTAAACAACCCCCTTTCATATCATCTGAAGGGCTAATGCTTGGCTTTTCAATTTCTCAGGTATTATTGATGTAAGAATGATATTGAAAAATTTGTATAATGCACCCCTATTTTCTACCTGGAACCACGCCGAAAAAAAAAAAATTTGAAAAATAAGCATTTTTTTTTCATTTTCTCGCACACAATGCCCTCCATGTAAATGGTTCAAATATTTTTTTGTGCACACCTTCGACGTACATGCATAGACACCAAAATCATTTTTTCTACGAGCGTGTGCAAAGTAGGTACTTTGCACACGCAGTTGGCAGCCCAAAATTCACTTTTGCGCACTAGTGCGGACAAGAGTTAATTTTGCGCACTAGTGCTGACAACATTCAATGTTGACAAATTACCAGTAAAAATTTTCATGTACCCTTAAAGGTCTGTTTCCATACAGAAATCACAAACTAGTTAGAGCGTTTTTGATTCGTTCAAATCGCCAACATCAAGTTTCCTGACTATTTTGAATCAATGAAATTCGCTCTGACTGGTTTTTGATTTCTGTAGAAACAGACCTTAAATGATTGCATGAAATTTGCTGTCAGTGTTTATTGGTCAGTGTCTCTGGTCAGTGGCACGTCAGTGTCAAACAAATTAATTTATCATCTTTTCTTTAGCCATTATTTTATCTACATTGTGAGCCTAAACCTAGATACTCCAAAAAAAAGTGAAGCACAATAGAAGATAGAGCCGCCAGTTCCTGCATGAGCCCAAAGTTCATCCCAAAAATCTTTCAATATCGTTTACAATAATCAAATGAATAATTAGTTTTTGTTAGTTGCTTCTGAGTATTCTGTTTTGAATATTTTTATTTCTTTTTTTAAATTTATTGTCTCATTTTTTATTTTTATAAATCTTCTCGCTCATAGAAAAAATACTGTTCCTGACTCTTGCGCAAAGTGTCTTGTTCGCACTTGACTACTGCCCGAACTCCGCTCCGCGTCGTTCGGTCAACTGCAGTCAGCGTGCGAACAAGACTTACTCTGCGCACTTGTTAGGAAATATACTATTCTAGTACAACCCCACTGGACGGAAAAAAAATATTAAGGGGGTGAAATTTTTTTTTTTGGGGTTTCTGTTTCACATAGGTCAGTAGCGCACTGAATAAGCTTTCCAAAAATATATCTACTTATGGCAACATCCCTCTGGAAACTACCCCTGCCCCTTACGAAAGTTGTCGCAACCACTCTTTAGCGATTATTTCGTTACCTATGCATTGCATCAGAAGGAAATTTATACGAAATTGAAGACCACCATATGCTCTACAAATAAGGTCTTGATGTATTTTCTTTACCTATATTTGCAATCGTTACGCTACAGTGGCGTCCCAAAGTTCAGCAATTTAGAAGTGGATTCCAGTTTTATTCCATTATCTTGTCACCTATACATTTTATCGCTAAAATTCATTAGCTAAATGGAAGGCCAGAAATTTGTCTACTCATTTTGCCCTATGCACTTTCTATGTTCTTGCCACCTTTCAGCCACAACAGTAGCCCAAATGTCGGAAAACGTCACGCAAACTCAATTTTTTTTTTTTTTGTCAATGGTCTTCAGCTCATGTTATAAGGGCCTATCTAATTGATTTATTATAACAGTATTAAGTATATGCCAATTATATTTCATGCAATTTAAGCTTTATGTTCCAACCAATAAAATACAGTGGCGACATCGAGAGCTTGTAGTTGTTTCCACACCACCCAACAATGGTGTGGGAACCATGTAGGTACTCTACCTCAAGAGGTGCCTTTTTTTTTATTGTGATGTCCCCAATAGGCCTACTACACGTTAATGTATGTATTTTTTTCCTCTCAGACCTCTCATCTCCTCGGTTGGGGGGGGGGGGGGGGGGGGGGGGGGTGTGTGCTAAATCTGTGAATAGGTGACGAGATAATGGAATAAAACTGGAATTCGTTATAAAATTTCTGAGCTTTGGGACGCAACTGTGGCGTAACGGTTGCAAAATATAAAAAAATGCATTAGGAACCTGAGATGGGTTTAGACCTATGGTTTAGACCGGGTTTTTTGGAAAAAACCCTAAAAACCCTTCTGAAAGAACCGGTTTTTTCGAATAACCATATTTCAAAAAACCCGGATCATTGAAACAATCCGGTTTATTCAAATTTTGGGTTTAAAGCCTGATTTTTCTTAAAAAACCTAATAAACCTAAGTTTTTCATTTTTTTCTACTCTAAGGAACACTTTTAATCCAAATCAAACTTTTAAATGATAATTATTAGGATAAATAATACCTTAGTGTTTTAAAATTTTTAAATAAACTGAATGAAAAAAACAAAGAAATAAACCCGATACAAAAGAAAACAAAACATAAAACTAAAAATATCAAATATTCTGCCAGTTAACTTATAATAAATGAAAACTTATTGTTCGTCGATTTTTAACTGATACTTGCGGTATGAGGAGCGAGAGGGTGTTTCATATGGCAAAAACAGGTGTGACAGATTGAAATCGACGGACAATAAGTATTAATTATTAATTATAAAATATTATTCATTAATCATTATTTATAAATTCGACCCTATACCTCAAGTTATTCCAATTGGGAATCAGTATTTTCATTTCCACTATTTTCATTGGCATTTTCTTCACAGTCGACTTCAGTATATCTTCTTCTTTTACAGTCTACAGTTGACTCGTACTCAGACTCAGATTCATTTTCACAATCTTCATCGATGCTAATTGCATTTATATACCAAATCTATATTCTCTTGCTCCGGCAACTCTAAATCTTCTATCACTGTTTTCAAATTATAGTTGATGAATGCTAATTTTTCTGTTCTTTCGTTTGTCAGTCTATAATACCGGGTGACCACGAGATTACTGACCAAGCTCTAGTTCAGGCATGAATATCAATATCGATTTCAAGTTTTGAGGATGTATATTATTGATATCGATGCAGAATTTCGCTATAAAAACAATCGACTATCGCTTTTGGTTTGACCGCAAGTGCCATCAACTTCTTTATTTCAACTAGATCACCCCTATATTATTACATTTTTGGATTCTATGAGAAATTCTAAGCATATTTTATGTATAATATCCTATACCTAACTTAAACAGTTTTCAAGAAAATCGCGATTGAAAATGTCAAAAAATAATTTCTATTTTAGTTTTGACAGCAAACAATGGATAGTAGGTTGGAACTTTTACGATATTTTTGACTCATTTTAGAAGCACTAAAGGGTCCCACCACAAAAATATCAGTTCCGGTTCAATCGAAGGTTTTCGGTCGGCCTACTTTTGAGGTTATGTCACTGCAATAATTTCAATGGTATTGAACTATCCAAGATGCTGTCAAACTTGAATTAAAATGGCCGCCAAGAGGCACACAATAGTTATTTATGCACCTAGGTCAAAAAGTACAGCTTTAACGCCCGCAGCGTGTGTAACAGCCTGAGGCGTCAGCCGAGGGCTGTTTACACGCTGCACAGTGATAGAAATTGCCAATCTAGAATTCCAAAAGTCTTAGCTGTATTAATCAATATATATATTTCTGCTTAAAAAAAAAAATAAAAAAATAAAAAAAGAAAAATAAAAAAAATAAAATAAAAAAAATAAA